AGGCTAAAGCATGAGAGGCTTGAGACTCCATCTGTACTAAAAGTACAAAAATTAGCTGAGAGTGGTGGTATGCACCTGTAATCCCAGCTGCTTGGGAGGCTGAGACAGGAGAATTGCGTGAACTCAGGATATGGAGGTTGCAGTGAGCCGAGACTACACCATTGCACTCTAGCCTGGGCAACAAGAGAGAAACTACATCCCTCCACCTCCCAAAAAAATTAGGCGTGATGGTGCACGGCCGTAGTCTCAGCTACTCAGGAGGCTGAGGCAGGAGAATCGCTTGAACCTAGGAGGTGAAAGTTGCAGTAAGCCGAGATCATGCCACAGCACTCCAGCCTGGGCGACAGAGCAAGAATGAGTCTAAAAAGAAAAAAAAACAAAACAAAACAGGCAGCAGCAGCTAATTTTAAATGAAATGTCTGAAACTTTACGTCCTGAATTAATGATGATTTCAGACTGTTGATACTTTGTCCCCATGACATCACAATGATGGGGAATAGAGCCTCGATCCACAGTGAAATCCGGATCAGGGTTTGCCAATGAGTCTGGAATCTCAAGAAACTGATCCCCTTAGCTCTTGGGGTAGCCAGCCAAAGTCTGGGGCAGGGGCCAGCTGCATTTTGATACCAGCTGTCTTACCAATTGTCTGTATGTGCTGTGGCCTACAAAAGGTTAGAAAGCAATGTTCTGTATGTCATTTTCCCTTAAGTTGTTTAATGATGAAAATGTTCTTTCGGAGGGGCTCAAAGCTATGACATGAAAAATTGTCACTCTAAGGTCAGGCATGGTGGCTCACGCCTGTAATCCCAGCACTTTGGGAGGCCGAGGCGGGTGGATCATTTGAGGTCAGGAGTTCGAACCAGCTTGGCCAACATGGTGAAACCCCTTCTACTAAAAATACAAAAATTAGGCGTGGTGGCGCACGCCTGTAATCCCAGCTACTCGGGAGACGGACGTTTGCAACTCTTTGGTTGGCCCAGGCTAGAGTGGGCAATGGCACGATCTCAGCTCACTGCAACCTCTGCCTCCCCAGGTTCAAGTGATTCTCCTGCCTCAGCCTCCCCAAGTAGCTGGGATTTATAGGCGTGCACCACCATACCCAGCTAATTTTGTATTTTTGTAAGAGATGGGGTTTCACCATGTTGGTCAGGTTGGTCTCAAACTCTGACCTCAAGTGATCCACCTGCCTCGGCCTCCAAAGTGCTGGAATCACAGGTGTGAGCCACTGCACCAGGCCAGAAGTTTTTTCTTCATAAGAATATTCTAGCTAATAAGGAAAGAATGAATAATAAGATATCACATTTTGCAACCTCTAATGAAACAGATTTATCAATTAAACATCAATGGTTGCCAACATCACAAAAACAGCAACACCTAAATATTATGGCTCCTAATATTAACCACTTATAAATAATCTTAACAAAAAAGAACCTCAATCTGACCAGTCCTCTAAATCTCAACTACCAATTTACAGGAAATACTAGGAATAGAAGAGCATGTTAAACTACACCATGCAGATGCAGCCAGCAAAAACAGACTTGGAGAAGCTCTACGAGGCAAATTACCTAGTTTCTTCAAAAAACAAGAAGTTGCAAAAAAACCCAGTAGGGAATAGATTGAGTATATAATAGATTGAGAAATAAGAGGACATATCAACTGCATTTGAGACATCATTTGGATCCTGGTAATTTTTTCATAAAACTACATTTATGAACTAAAAATTTGAACACTATCATACATGTAATGGCATTAAGGTGGTACATCTTTTTTTTCTTTTGAGATGCAGTTTGCTCTTGTTTGCCCAGGCTGGGTGCAATGGTGCAATCTCAGCTCACTGCAACTCCGCCTCCTGTGTTCAAGGGATTCTCCTTGTCTTGGCCTCCCGGGTAGCTCGGATTACAGGCGCCACACCACGGCTGTCTAATTTTTGTATTTTAGTGAGTTGGGGTTTCACCATTGGTTGGGCTGTCTCGAGCTCCTGACCTCAGGTGATGTGCCCACCTCGGCTTCCCAAAGTGCTGGGATTACAGGCATGAGCTACTGTTGCCAGGCCTATTTTTTTTTTTTGTTAAGGAGTGAAAATTATTTCTAATGTTGTCATGTGTTTTAGAGAAATGTATGAAATGTTTATGGATGAAATCATACATCTGGTATTAACTTCAAAAATGACACAAAGATGGTGAGAAGTGGTATTACAGATAAAGCAAGCCTGGCCCTGAGCTGATAATTCTTGAAACTGGTGATGAGGCTACTGGGGTTCATTATAAGATTCTGTGTATTTTTGTACATGTTCAATTTTTTTATGACAGAAAGTTTAAAAAGTTACTTTTTTTTTTTTTTTTGAGACGGAAATCTCGCTCTGTCACTAGCTAATTTTTTGTATCTTTTGGAAGAGATGAGTTTCACATGTTGGCCAGGACAGTCTTTATCTCGTTGGACCTTGGTGATCGCCCACCCCAGGCCACCCCGCCCCGCCGCCTCAAGCCTCCCAAAGTGGCTGGGATTACAGGTGTGACCACTGCGCTGGCCAAAATTTACATTTTTATCTAGCATTTCCACTTCTAGGAGTTTACTTAAAGATATTTACACATGTACTGTACAAAATATGTGCAGGGAAATATTTGGGATTGTTTGAAAGAACAAAAAAATAATGGAAAGGTCTGGGCACAGTGGCTCATTGCCTGTAATCCCAGCACTCTTTGAGAAGCCAAGGTGGGTGTGGATCACTCGAGTCAGGAGTTTGAAGACCAGCCCCTG